AAATAAAAGAAAGGAGACCCATTCGTCCGAGTCCATTGTAACAGGGGAGCCAAGATGTAGGCATGGCAGCAATGACATTTATTTCTGTTACCACAGTGTAGGTGATAGAACATGGTTATGGAACATCCATAAACTGAAAGGGGAATATTATAGTACAGTTACCAAGAAAACAACCATCCCTAGTGATGTCTAGGATGCATAATGCACTAGTGCTGGACAGGAAACAGACGCCTATATCATGACTGAATCAGAGGAATCTCAGTGCAGAAATCTGTAAAGCAAACAGCCTGCAGTTGCAGACAATGGTCATATTACTATACAGCTCTAGTGATGATTTCATGGCTTTTACATGTCTAGAGAGGGACCGTCTGCTAGCTGCAGTATCTTGGAAGTATCAATGAATGAAAAATGTATGTGTAATCCACTACTCGAACTCCCATTCTGGGGAGAATCTAATGAATCATTCTCATGCAGGGCACCTATCAGGATCCTTGGGAGAAGGAATGCTGTTAGACTGATGCCAATGGTGAAAAGGCTGTAGTCAGGCTGCACACCACAGTGTTTGCAAACACTGTCCAGGAGGTAGTAATAGTCCTTACGTACAAAAGAGAGGAGATAGCAGGTGTCCAGGTTCAGCCTAAACCTCTCAAAGCAAGCCCTGACTGTGAGATTAAAGCCACTAGGGACTAGGGTAGAAAGTCTTATCAGAATGATCATTACCTCAGCAGCTCCTACAAGTGCCAATTTCTGAGAGCAAACATCAGTACAAACATCTACTTGCCAGAGGTGAATCTCCTCCCACTCACTCTTCCTTTCATCCCCAGACTCAGGCCCTGTTAAACTTGCACCTTTTCCTGCTTAACTTTTCAGATTTCTCCTTAGAAGAGAAAGTCTTGTCCTTATCCCAGCACAAAATACCCAAGAGTTACTGCTATCTCCCACTACTGCCTATCTAATCTCTGTGTGGAGTAGTATTCTACTACTCCACACTAATCTAAACTAAAGAGTCTTGTAAAAAAACTACTCTTGCTTTAAGTTCTGTTTCTCTCCACTCCTGCTGTTGTCTAACCCAAAGGTTGGGCATTTGGGACTGGCTGTGCCTGAGCCTTCTAAGTGACTGTGGCACCTCAGGTCTGACATATCATGGTGGGCTGGAGATGGTGATAAAAGAGAGAGCCTTCAAGATGGCAAGGAAAACATAACTGCTTGGCAAGTGAGTTGCTTCACCTGGGTGCAGGTTAGATGCCTACACACTCGTACATCTGAGAGAAAGGCAGCCCCTGTGCCCTGCTGGAGGCAGTTGTTGTGCACTATCTGGGAAGGAGGGTGTCTCAGTTTAATTGAGACAAGGGTCTTTTGCTGAGGATGGATTAGGAGAAAAAGACCCAAACC